GTCAGAATCGACATAGCGGGAGAGAAATATATCCTCAACTTTTCCTTTCGACTTAATATCGTTTCAAAGGGACATTTTCTTACAAAAGAAAGAAAGAAAGAAAGAAAGAAAGAAAGAAAGAAAAGCTAAAGGCATCTCTAACCCTACATTGATCAAAGCGGTCTTTTTGTTGGTGGTGAGTTTCAGAATATATCTTCAAAGGGGTTAGAAAAAGAAAGCAAGAAAAAAAAAGAACAAGAAGGAGACGGATGTTTTTCTTTTAAAATCCATCATCGAAATTAAATTTCTTCCTTGTTGGCACTTACTTCTCTTGGATTATACCGTTTTCTTTTCAGTCGCAAGCTGCACCAAGTGCGCGCGTGTTGACGAACCTGTTATAGTTGTGTACAATCATCAGTGGCATAACATAAAGATGCGAAAGTATGTGTGTTGCTGAGTGTGTGTATGTGTGTTGAGGTGGCTGTTTGTCTCCGATCCATTCGTGTTTTGCATTCGTCGCTTATCCTTTCTTCGTTCTTCCGTTTTCGAATTAGTTCCATCTTTCATTCCCGCCTCGTGCTGTCGTCATTATTTGACGATTGCAGACAGGCGAATGAAAGGAGATGCTAATGTACAAATAAAAACAAACCCCAAAATCAAAAGAAAACGTATAGAAAGAACAACCATATATTACATATATAGAGCCACCGAATTAACACTGGCTCTGGTCGACAAATGAAATCTCCGCGGCCGTCCGAGTAAAACGTGAAAGAATGAATAACAAAATTGACAACGAAACATCACAGTTCAGAAATCTGTTCAAAATAACCAACAGAAATCAGATTCAAAAACAGTTCCGTACAGATAAAGGCTTCTACCTCTCCACCTCAAGTTGAATGCTGTAACTTAATATACAGAAAAATTAAATTTGGAACACTAGAAATCTATAAGATAAATACTGCTACTACTACTAATAATAATACTAATACTACTAATAAGCATATTAATAATAAGTCGCATTGAATAAGTAGTTAAGGGCTGAACAAGTTTCAGTTATTGATTTCATAGAAATAATAATAAAAATAAAAAACGGTAATCAATATTTTCTATGTTAATTAATTATTTTAAATAAATTTAAACGAGAACCTTGTTTTTTTTTTAAGAAAAAGTACGCAAAAATTGCATTCGAACAAAAAAAAAGTTAAATTATATTATTTAAAAAGAGAAATTGTTGGTTTTGAAAAAAAATAGTTTTCAATAGAAAGAGAGAAATAAAAAAACCAGGGACCTGTCATTGTTGGTGACAATCCAGTCACACTTGTTCCTTTTTTTTTGTTTTTTGTTTGAATGTGACGACCATCATCTGTTGTGTTGCTGATCGAACCAACAACGTGCGTCGTTGTTGCTGGCTGGGGAAGTTGTGCGGCCGAACGTACTTGCTGGTCGTTGTCTTACGTTACTTCAGTGATGGTCGTCATGACGTAGTAGTAGTAGCATCAACGCATTATTTCAGCTGAAAACACGACCACCACTACGGTGCTGCTTACGATACGGTTTTGTGGACTTACTCGCCGCGGCGTTACATACCCAACAAAAAAAAAAAAAAAAGAAAAGTCTCAGTTTTGAAGATTCTTGTTGTTTGGTACTTTATTGATATATTGTTGATATTGGGTTCGGTGCGTGACATATACCAACAGAGGTGGTGGCCGTTGAGTGTATGGTGTGTTGTTGTTATTGTAGTTCTTGTTATTGTTGCTGCTGCTGTTGTGGCGTTGGTGGTGGAGGAGGAGGCGGCGGCGGTGGTGGTGTGTGTGTGTGTGTTGCGAAGAAGGTGCCACCCTCGGGTTGTTGCTCTGGATACCACGGCTTCGGTGCACATGTTTGCTTATACTAACTAACCGCTTTTGGAGTTTTGTCGGCCCTACACAATTATGACTGCTAAATTCTCCTTGGCTATCATCCTTTACATCGCATTGAGGAATATACAGTACACAATAGGTAAGTAAAATCCTCTTTTTTTCCCATTCTTCAAGAAGGCTACTTGTGAACATTATTATTATTATTATTATTATTATTAATAATAATAATAATAATAAATAATGAAAAGCCTTTCTCAGAAACTCTTAGACAGTTGGCTGTTCTTTTGCGGGTATTCTTATTTTTTTCCGTTTTTTTTTTACATCGAATATTTGTCATTGCTGGTTTCACCCCTGTAACCCTTTGAAGCAGGCAGAGATGCTTCACCAGCTGTTAAGACAGAAATGATAGAACATTTTGACGAATAAAGAAACAGACGGATATGGAACACCAACACAGTCATTAGATCCTAATTCTTGCTAATTTTTATCATTATCACACAGGGAGTTGATAAACATATAAGCTTAAGCACATTTTGGGGGCTGAAAAGTACCAATTCTTAATCAAGTACAAAAAAGCAGTAAAACAAAAGTAGAGGTACTCTTAAACAAACAGATCGGTTTATGCTTCTAAAATATATTGAGAAATCGAACGATTTGACATTGTTTAGATAATATTTAGCGGACAAAGCGCATTGATAGAGAGAAAACTAATTTTTCAATTTCAGTTTCAGAATTAGCCAGGCAGACGGTTAATGAAATGTTTGGTTAGTTTAATAAAGCTTATAGATAGTTGTAGTGGTACTACGACTATTATTACTAGGACAACGATTGTTACTAGTACTACTACTACTACTAATAATAATAATAATAGTAATGATAAAAAGACGATGCCGTAAAATACTTATTTTCTACCACTAGTCTGCGAGTAAAATGTTATCGAAAATTTTGCTTATTTTAATATTTCTCTATTTGAAATTTGACCCTAGCACAAGCAGTACCGTTCCTCACCGGTTGACTTGCGATATTAAAACCCGTGTTCTCGTATTATTTATTTATTCTTTAATAAAATTCGGTTTCAGGCCAATTGCATGGTATGGGATAATCTTTAATGCAAAACACACGCCACAACAGACGCTCCGAAGATAGAACAACAGAACTGAAGAAATGAGTTTGCAAAAAGCGAGCATCAGTGTTCATTTTCTAAAAGTGCCTCCAAATAAATCGTTTCTTGAAAGGTAATCGTTGTTTTCTCATGATATTTTCCACAATCTTTTCTATAGTAAGCAACTGGTATTTTTTCTCCGGGATTTTCTTTTAGCAATTCTTTTCGTCCAACAATATTCTAAACATATATTTTCTTTACTCATCGCCAGTACAAAAATAGCTAATGCTTTAATATGCATCGTCAATACAATAAAATTGCGGGTATATTTAACAAAACAAACCGATTATTACAAGCCATGAGTACTTCAACGTGCTACTGCATTCGTTTACACATATACGCATTCTAGTCTTATGTGAGGTGATGTCTTTCGCCGCCATATTCGGCGTGAGATTTTTATTCTTAATTTTTAAATAAACTTAGCGCGTTGATTATATACATATATATATATTAACCTCATTCTATCTGAACCAGGAACCTCTGCAAACCTTAGAATGACGTTTTCTTTTCGTATCTCCTTGAGAAACTGTCCGGCTCTTCCTTCAGTCCGGTACGAGTCAGAAGTTAAACTCGAGGAAAACGTCTGTTCACACGCATTCGCTTTGAAGCACATACACACACCGCGTATATGTATACGAAGTTGTAATACACCACTTTCACACGCATGCATTCCTCCCCTGCGATAGTTACGTTTGAGTTATACGTGCTGAAGCGTTGCAATATCCATTGCACTACGGGGGGGGATCGAGGCCCCCATTTTTTGCTAAAACTGAAAACTAAATTTAAATTTGTGGCTTCAATCTATAAAGGGGCGACTGAATTGTCCTGTGTCATTTATCAAAAATCATTACTGTCAATAAATTGCAAAATATATGATAAAAATTCACTTTTTTTTTTTTACTGTTTTTTTACACGAAACGTTAACTACTAAAACTTTTATATCAGCAATAAGTGTAAAAGAAAAGCAAAATAAATGTGCATTTAAAATCAAAACAAAAAAGAAATGTTTACTGTGGGATAATAGGTTTAAAATTGTTTATTTGAAGAGAGGACCAACTAAAGAATGAAGAATCAGGAATAACTGAATAATTGATTTAGCACCGTCACTTTTAACATTTGATTTAATGCCCCCCACACACTATCTCTTTTTATTATTTAGCGTCCTGATTGTTTCACATCAGTAAATATCCGAAACACCTAAAACTAATAATTATGTTCAAGCCTATTAAATCTATAGTTAAAACACACAATATCGGCAAGTGCTAACAACACTGTTAATAATCAGAATTCGTTATAATTTTAGAACAGGACAAATTTCGCTTTCGACATTTAAATATCCGTCTTCAAAATCTGCGATATCTAAGCCATGGATGATTATATTAAAAGTGATTATACGATATTATTAGCATGTATATTTATACAAATACACACACACACACGTCTGTGTGTGTGTGTGTGTGTGTGTGTGTTTGTTTGTATAAATATCCATGCTAATTGAATTTATTTAACTATCAAATGCTTTGCTATATTTACGTTATTTACATTCGGAGTAATATCCTTTGTTGATATTATCACAATGCTTCAGCCATTGTTCTGTTCGGCCTTCTTCAGTTGTCTGTCGATTCAGGTAAGCTTCAGGAAGTTTTCAGGGCTTTTCTCACAGAACAAGAGCCAAATGGATTAAATCATTGGTTCTTGAATTTAGTAGCAAAGTAAATAAATTTAGAATTAAATATAGGGTTCAGTTCGAAATTCCGTGAAAGTTACCCGAATCAATAGACACTTGAAGAAAGCCAGTTGGAAAATGGTCGAAACATTGCGATAGTAACAAGAAAAATGTGTATACTTGTTCCAATGCACATAATGATAACACTTTATTCCATAAATTAAAACTGAGAAATTAGGCATATCTCGTCAGTTTAATACTGCTTAGTTGTTGCATACCCTATTTCCACTCAGATTGGGCCTGTAGCACCCGATCAAACTCACAGGCATCGTCC